GCTGAATGGCTGGTTGCGGAGCAGACTCGCCTACGCCCGGGCGATGGTGAAGAGCGGTTTGACTGTCGAGTCACGCCACCGGCCCCTGTCTGCAAAATATTCGGGGGAGTGGATCTGACCCCCGTTGCTATCTCCGGATGGAATCTGACATTTCCATGAGCATCTATGCAAAGACTTCAAGAGACTTGTCGCACCAGAACAGAAGTCACTTACGAGTTGGCAATGAAACTGGTTTCTTTCAGGTGGGCCACTCCGCCAAGGGTCTGGAAGCGATAGTACGACAAGCAACAAGCCCCGAACGATTCGCATGCAAGCACTGATATGGTTTCGTTTGCCTAGGTATCCGTATCTTTCGCTCAGTCGGGTATTGGTCGATGCCCTATCGTTGACACATCCACGCCTGGCTAAGCTCCAAGCATCATTAACCAGGGCACGCAGGGGCCTCTACCTCGGTCAAGTTAGGCCAAAGCCTGTCAGTCAAAAGCTGCAACGGTGGTAAGCAGATCTCGGATCTGCAACAATGGCTTGCCAAGCTTTTCTCTCGTACCTGGCTAGATATCATGTGTCAGTCTGGTTTCCTGTTCCGGCACATTACAAAACGATTTGCGGTTGGTAAATAGTCATCAGCAGTAAAAAGTAGGTGGCTGCCAAGGCAGCTCACATTCGCACGAGTCAAACATGTCGAATTTGCGATCACGAAGTGCGTTTAGACTCCACACGATATCGAATTTTGTTATCAGAACTTTCGAAAGCGCCAGCCTTGGTTGGAGCAGGCAGCGCAGCAGCCAACCTCCCATCCACAGAAATACCTCATCGCTACCATTACCTCATGATTTACAAGAATGGCAACGTATCGCCGAGTAGGCCCAAAGATGAGCATGAAAACCCTTATTCACTACGGAATGCTAGTCACCTTCCGCGGCTCAGGCGCACGGCGGTCTAGACAAGGTAACCGTCACCACCTACCCGAACGTCTTCCGACCAAAGTCCGCCCCACTCACGCCGAGAGGGACGCCCGTGGTGTGCGCGTTCCAGTGTTACTGTCGTGAGAATGCAAAATCTTTACAGTGGAGGCCATCGGTGATTCTTCTTGCGGTGGGGATGGGTAGGGCGGCTTGATTTGCAACCAAAAAAACTCGTCGTACGATGAACCCCGATCAGTCATCCCGCCGTCACGGAGGAGTGGGGCCCCCACTGTGCATCCTGCCGATGCCCACGCCGGTCTTCTCCCGGCATCTGAAAGCGGCAGAGCGGTGACTGGCACCCGGGCTGGCGTCGCAGCCGACCCCAGTCAAACGCATGGCTGGTAACCGGAACCGTTATTGCCGTGGCCGGTTTTGCGATCGAGATGCGTTTGAGACTCGGTCGGCGGTAATGGCGCGACCTGCCATTTTCATCGGGATCGTCTCTGAAGAGGGCCCGTCTTCTCGTGCCGAAACCGGCGGAGGCGGCATGTTGGATTTTGCCAATGCTCCAACAAGTGGACTGAGATATTCGACGTCGTCGGGCGTTTCATTGCGCCCGACTTGTTCTCGAGAGTGCTTCTCGCGAACCCTCGAACAGAAGTTCAACTTTACTGAAGCCAGTACACTCGTCTAATGTATCCTTTCCTGAAGTGGTGCCCATAAGCGCTGCAATGTCAAGATTAACCTCTGCGTTTTACCACAAACGTGCGCAATGGCACGGATGGTCATGGATGACCCCGCAATTGACCGAACTCAACTCGTTCTGTTCGCGAACAAGTGTTTGCAGGCAGAACTTGCGCAACATCCCCGACGGGTTGACAGCCTCAAGGCTACCTACCTACCTACCTAGTTTGGAGGTCCCCGCGGCTGCGCGCGATAGTTTTGTCCACGCACTCACACACACAGACATATTCAATAGCGTTCTGCAGGTTGGACCCTTAATATCATGCTGCCAAAGTTAAGGGGAAATCGTCGCCCTCTTTCTTCAAGGATATCGAAGAAACACAGTCTAGTATTGTGCGGAAAACATATGCCAGAGGCGAAGGATACCCTGTGTTCACTTACGACGGAGTTTTGACCAAGGAAAGCGGCCGCGTCAAGTAATATGACGCCCGTCTTCATGTCCGGGGGACCACCCCCGCGGGCGACCGCGTCGGCGATTACTTTCTCACAAGTCCGGGCACGTTGCTCCGGGTTTGTATATGTGTGCGTGCTTTATGAGAGACGTTCCGCGGAGCCGGTGGGATAGAGAGGCACCAAAAGTCTAAATCATGCACACGTCTACTTGGGACGGACCTCGGAATTGGGAGCTTTCTGCGTTTCAAATCACCGAGGTTTAGGATATCTATATACGACAGATGAGAGGGGGGAGAACAAGGTTCGTCACATTTAGAGGGGGGAGCGGAGGGGAGATGAGAAGGTAGGTGGCCTGAGCTTGCGCCTCTTTCTCTCTGTTGTCTCGTTTTTCCCTCCTTGTAGGCCTCGGCTCAGGAAGGTCTAAGTCCGAGGTGGGAGATTGGGAAAAAGAAGGGGGGTGATGTGGAAGGGCATGAACTGCTCGGGAGTTTACTAAACAATGTGACAACTATAATTTGATTGGAGATTGAAGGTTCGTCGTAAGTAGGAGCAACTCTAAAAATGTGATGGCTGGGGTGTACGAAATGTTTGGTTTGGGGATCGTCATGGCCTTTTACTGCTTTTTCTTTTTCTTTTTTAACGCGTTTTGCTGAACGGCGATGTCTGTGTGTTGTTGTCGGCGACGAATCGATTACTGTTTTTGGTCTGAGAACCTCGGCTGTCGTAATCTTAACCTTTGGAAGGGGGGGTTTAGGTAAGGCTAGTTAGTTTGGTAGGTAAGTAAGGTAGGTAGGTGGGCAGGCACGACGGGTATCCCTCCGGCGGGATTGAGATGAATTTGAGGCTGTTGTTGGCGAGGGAGGTTATTCGAGTTCTCTCTGATCTTGTTTTGTTTTGTAAGTATATCGTCTGGTGTTTTTGCTTCGAGATAGGGAAATTATCGACCCCCTTCGACTCATGCAGCGTCTCTTGTCATTGACCATGAGGCGGAATCACTCTTATTTCGCGTTCCCCTCATGTTGAAGGTTTTTTTTGTTCTGAAGTTCGCCGAGGCTAGTGAAGAACATGAGAAAACTTGACAATACCTTTCCGAGTTTAACTCGTGTGTATCTTTATCATGCCAAAAAGCTTTTCCCCTTTGGGTGATTTGCGGTGGTGATGTTGTTTGTTATTGCTGCGGTGGTGTAAGTCAATGGGAAGAAGAGCCCGGGCGAACGGTGTTTTTCCCCGGGAAGGCCGGTGAAGACCGGCCGTTGGCGATGAGATGAATGACGGGCGTTTGCTTTTCTCATTCTACTTCGGATGGCGGGCTACGGGTGGATGTACTGTTGATTGATGACGTTTCTGTATGTCGGTCTTTTGGCGTTGGTTTCTTATGGGCTTTGTTGTCTTCGCGGGAGATCCTCGTGTTGGTGGGTTGTTTCCCATTGGAGTAGATTGGATATGGTGAAGCTGGAGGGGGACAGGAGATTTTGATTTAGGGACGTCATTGTCTTGAGCTTGCAATGGAGGCTTTGTTGGCGTGGTGTGTTGGCCCCCCTTGTTGGGTTGTTCCTCCAGGACTTTTGCTCTGAGGGCTGAAGATAGGGAGACGGAGTTGAGGAGGGTTTTGTTGTATCGTTTAACCTCCTTGACCTTGTCATAGATGGCGATGTCTAGGTCCTGACGATGCTAGCTGGGTTTCCGCACGTGACTGATACTCGAGAAGGTATTTATTGAATGGTTTACAAGTAGTTCTAGTCTCTTGACGTGTCCATATCGGTGTGGTGATGTGATGATCATCTGTAGGTCTAGATGCCCTGAGCCTCTCTGATGGCCCTTTGTCTCTAAGATGTCGGGTATGATTCTCAGCTACATATTGCCTAGAGGAGGAGATGCAACCTTTATGAGAAGTATTGAATCATTTCTGATAGACGCTCTGGCAGGTGGTCAGTTCGATGATATCGAGACACCGAGTCCGTCGCATTCTCAGTGTAGAGACTACTAATTAGTCATGAGCACGTATCTTTCACGCATGCCATGTTCCTTATATTACATCTCCTTATTGAATTCTCCAAAAGCAGAGTTTTTGGTTTCTCTGTGAAGGTGAGTACACTGGCGCGCCTCTGCCATGGTCGCGTCGGTATTTGAATCCCAGTAGGGGTTCGTTTAAAGCTGCTTAGCACTGACAGGAGTACTGAGTGGGCATTGTAGTGAGTACAGTCATCATCGAAGCCATAGGGTTTTGCTTCCAACGGTGATGCTATGTCTAAAGAGAATGTCAGCAACGAGTGTTGTGCAACTTCGGCATTTGGCTTGGCCAGTATTCTACATGATTGGATGTCAAAGGTCGTGATCATGGGACCAAGTTGCTTCGACTGCAATCATACTGGAGCATGACGGAGGGCAGTACCGTGGCCGATTGCGACGAAGGTTGTCAATGGCTGCGAGGCACGTCTCAGAAGAGTGTGTACGTTACAAGGGAGCTAGAATGAGTATTTGATTGCATCATCTCACCGAAACTTGGGAAAGACAGTGTAATAAGTTTCGAGTTGCCTCAGGTTATGACGTTGTAGCTGTTACCCCTGTGAGCCCTGGGAACTCCAAGGGTCCGAGGTGATGAGAATTCATCTTTGAGTTCTTTGATGTTTTTAATGCTACCCTATGGCAGCTAGCTGGAGCGTGCTACTGTGATGGATGACGTGACCAGAGTTGCCATTATATTTTGCCCATTACATTTCTGCGGTAGAGGATCGTCGAATACCCAATTTCATATCAATGATAGGTCACCGCGGCACTAGTCTCAAGATGAATATTACCTCTGCCATATCCTCTATTCCTTAAAGAGAAACTGCTATGCTGTTCTATATGGGACACTGAGGGCCTTGCTGCTGCCATGGAAATGCATGCATGATTCAATAGCAAAGCAATGCTTCATAACACGTGTTGAAATTCATCGGATATCTATACGACCAGCATCTAGAACTCTGCAGACACAGCAATGAAGCCCGTCGCCTTGCCCTCAGCAGCCTGCTTCATCAGCTCCTGGTAGATGGGGTCCTTGGTCTGGTAGTACTCCATATCTCTAATCACCCACATCATTGTCAGTAATGAGTTTGAATTCCATTCAAGGAGGAAGATAGGAAGATCTTGGTGTAACTTACGCTTCATTGGCAAACGTAATCTCGTAAACGACGGACCATGCCTGGGACCCCGGGACGTCGGTCAGGACCTTGCACTTGCTAGCCTTTGAGGCGACGAGGTACGTTGAGCCGTCCTCCTAACGTTCCCGAATAAAGCACAACGTTAGCAAAACATGTCTCCTCAGCATGCTCATGATTGGGGGAAGTCTTATAATGTGACTTGCCTTTTTGCAGTCGTTGACAAAGTTGCTGAACCTCTTCACCGCCTCATCTTGCGCAGGGCCGTCGGCGAGCGCAATGAGTCCGATTCTGGTGATGGCCATTTTTATGTGTGGTTTCCTTTCAAAGGTCGTGAAGTTGGATTCGTTGGTTTGGTATTTGATAATTCAAGGACATCCGCTGAAATGTCTCCGTGTCAAATCTTAACCATGAGCAACGTAGTCGGATCTCTCTAATCTTTATATAGGCGTCCGGAAACTCGGTCCTCTTCCAACACGGGAAGTCACCGCCGTCTATGCCTCGGCGCACCAATTGATGTCTCGTCATGCCCGATGAAAGGAGGCGGAGCAAGGAGCCCCCGTCGCCCCGACCGTCCCCCGGCCTCAAGAGGCCACCTCCGCATAGGGAGGTGAATTCTCCGTATGGATCCCTTCTGCGGGGGTGGGAACCACGTTCATTGTCTTCCGGGCTTCCCTTAACCTATCGCATCAAGCCAACGGGGTAGATTAAGCTAGACATCCCAAAAAGAACACGTCGTCAATCATCTCACCGACAGTAAGAAAGGCCAGGGGGGGACGGGAAACACGTAGTCGCTAGCGAGCAGATAGAGAGAAAGAGGGGGTTCACAACCCACTGATCTTCACTATCTTCAACGGAGACCGAACGTGGATGCATGAGCATTCCCCTTGGCACGCTAAGTACGGTCCTGCCGAGGCATGAATTTTCCAAGTTGGTCGTTCCAAGGCCCGCCAACAAATCAGCGGTACTGAGAGGGCGGGCTCTTTCTCTTTTCCCCCTTCCCCTCTCTCTTACTTCCTGGGTCCTGCGAAACGTAAGAAAGAGGCGGGACGTTCTCTAACGATTCGGCTGTAGTCAGAGAAAGCTCGGCGACCGGAGGATATACCGATTCGGGTCGCTAGCTTGCGTCAGTTGCTGTCGTAGCCGGGCAGATCCCGGCTTCCCGCTAAGTGGAGCAAATAACCCCGGATGGGGGGGGGGGGAGGGCGGGCCCGTGCTAGGTAGGCCACCGCAAACCCCCCGGTCCGGTAGACGATTTATACCTGCTCACCTACTCCGTACTTTACTTGATATCTTTCTGCCGGCCAGTTCGGTGGTTGTGCATGTGAAGAGTGGCCTGTCTTGGCGTCTCGGAGCCCGAGGAAGTCGGCGGTCGGTGTGGTGTGGGTTGCCACGCCTTGCTTGTCCATACCACTCGGGTCCAACTTTGGGTGTACCAGATCACCAAATGATTTTAAGACAGTCGAATTATCGGTTGAGTGTTGTGTCATTCATTCTATAAACATCATAACTTTTTACATGGCCGGCCCCGAGTGAATCCATATCAAACAATTCCCTTCGTCAAACGTGGACATTGTCTTTCGTATACCCAATGTCTCGTCACCCCCTTCCTCCTCCCGAAGAAACAACAAATAGCTTCATGAGATTTTGAAATATGCTTAATAGTTAGAAATTAAAGGCCTGCGATGCTTGACATGTTTGTTTTCATCTCCACATCTTCCAGCAGCCAGTTCGCACCGGGGAAACAATCGATCTCGCTCCGAAGACGCCTCGCCATAACAATATGCAGGTATCAGATGCTCGCTAGCTTGAACCAGGATGATAAACAGAAAAGTAATGTCCATCGACACAGTCGTATGGCAAAAGAGACAAGAGATAACCAAGAACCAATCTATGTACGTGTGTGAAATATATCATGTGAAATCGGAGGAGTCCATCACTGGCTTCCTCTTCGTCGCCTCTGATCTCTATAGTTAAGGGAGTAAGGGGCAGGGCGCTCCTGCCGGACCGTTCGCCGGTCTGGGAGCCCAGACCGCATGTCCTGGTAGTAGTTGCTCTGCGCCGGGCCCGGGGCCGGCTGGTAACCCACTGGCGACCGCGGAGCGTAGGCAGCCTGGGCCATCTCGGCTCCGGTCGTTGGGTACAGGCAGTTTGGTGGCGGTGGTCGCAGGTAGAAGTTGCTTTCTTGTTGCGTCGTGTAGTGCTGAGGTGGGAGGCTCGACACGGGCTGCATCGGCCGCATCATTTCGACCGAGGTGGGAGGCGGATAGGCCTGCATGGTTCGATCCTGCATCGGGGCCCCGAAGTCGGCAATGGGCATCGTTTGCTGGATCTGTGTTGGGAGAGGCTGTTGGAAGAAACCGTGGCCAACCGCGTGTGGAGGCTCCGCAGGCGCAGAATGGGTAGCCAGAGGTGAATGGATTCGGGATGACGGCTGGCTGTAGCTGGTGGGAGCATAGTACTCTGGAGCAGTGTTAATGCGAGGCTCGGGACGACGACCATGAGCAGCAGTCATGTCCCGGAACATGCGCGAGCGGTCTCGGTTCGAGGCCATTGCTGCGGATCGATCTGGCGGGGGTGTGGCCTGGCCATCTACCCAGCGACAGGAGTCAGACTCATCCGCAGTATGAGAAGAAACGGACGCGGGAGCCGATGGGACTCGGTTTGCAGTCGTGACTGGGACAGTCTGGCTCTTGTCCGTAGATGCTGTCGCGGGGTCCTGCGGGCGCTTGACCACCTCAGGGTGAACTCCCTCAACGTACTCGATGAACTCCTTGAGGCTTTGTACTTTTTGGTCCAACTGTCCGATCAGCTTATCAGAACCATCGCTTCCTTCTGGAAGCAGACTCTTGATTGCATCAACAATCTGATCAGCGATTGACTGAAGCCTCTTCTCTGTGCCCTTCAAAGGGATACCAGTGATTGGCTGAAGCAGGCCGAGAAGCTGCAAAGACTCCTCGTTGTTTCGTCGAGCAGCTTGAAGCGACTCATTCGCTTGACGAAGTTGGTCATCGCTGGCGTGGCTCTGCTGCAATTGCTCGCAATGGCTTTCCAAGGAGCTGATGTGAGCTTGTGTACTCTGTCGGAAGGAATCGATGATTCCACTCGGCGTAAACGTATGAACGGGTTGAGCTGGTGCTCGGCGAGCCATGACTGGCGTTCCGCGTGTGCTTGAAGGGCGAGAATCGTCAGGACGCGGGCTACGCCTTGGCTGTTGACTGTGTGAAGTCGAAGGCAAGCTGCCTTCCTGCACCGGGCTATAAGAGCTCGACGGAAGGGGGTATGATGGTCGGGATGTGGGGCGGTTGCTCTGGATAACGTGGACCTCTTGAGGCGCAGGGAATGAGGGGCCTGGCATCGGGAGTCTGTTCGACTGTTCCGGATACCGTGGGTGCATTTGGAAATCTTGAAGGGGCTGAGAAGGGTTTGAAGGAGGAATCTGAGATGGCAAGTAGCCGCCGCGAGGGTCATTTTGCATGTGAACAGCTTCCGGTTGCTGAGGATGATGGCCCACGGGTCCGTTGTGGCCATGAGAGCTGCCATGCTCCTCCGCAAGGCGATACTGCTCGTAGTAGTCGGCATGGCTGACTGTCCTCGAAGGCAGCGCCTGTGGTCGCTGGGGCATTGGCAGCTGGGGTTGCCGCATTTCCGGAACGTGCTGTGGTGGCATCTGCAATGTATCCCAGGCATTGCCATTATCTGTGTTGAGGCCTTGCGTGGCCCACAGAGGCTCCTGAGCGTTGGCACCCTGCCTTTGCTGGTCATGTTGTCCAGGCACGTAGTTGCTGTTCTCGTTCTGCGGCATGAAAACAAAGTTGACTTGCAGATCGGCGTCTGCCATCATACCGTCCATTTGATGCTCGCCGATGCAGAGGTCCAGGTTGTCAGCAAAGGCAGAGTCGAGGCTGAACGATGGATCAATGTCGAAGCTGAACTCGTCATCAGATTCTAAGTCTGACCAAGTATTGCTTCCGTATGGGCGGGGTTTCGGTGCTTCAGCAACAATGCGAGTGTTGGGCTTTGTTGCGAAAGATGCGGTGGGGATGTGGAACGGCTTAGGTGAAGTGGACTGTTGAAGAGTGGTCAGCTGAAGTTCTGAATTCCATGGCTTTCAAGGTGCTCACCATTCGTCCCATAGAGGACTTGTAGATGGGAGAATCAGGGTCTCGAATTTCAATGGCAGAGTCTCGACGACCTTGCACGCGGTAGAACCGAGGAGGAGGAACATCGTCCCCCGACTCAGAAGGGCTTCTGGACGATGCGCAAGAAGATGCTGAAGGAGTCAATGCAGGCTGTTGCACATCCACGCTGAGTGAGAGTGCGTCCCACTGGGCTGTAAACAAGGAGACTCTGTTGGCGGGTTCCAGGTTGACTCTTGATGCGTTGCCCTCCAGCATGACCTCGCGTCCAACGTAGACACAGGAGCCAAAGAGCGTTGCGATGCCGCGATATCCCATTTGAGGGCGCTCTGAGGCGGAACGTCGGAAATCTAGGCTCGGTCCGTACAATGTAAGCAGGAAAGTGGTTCCTGATCGTTGCTCAGTGTGAGTCGGGACCCAGCAGACAGCCTTCAAAGGCACGAGCATACACTGGTTGGTCCGGAGGTTGAGAATGTGGAGGGCATCTGAGAGGTCCTCTCCCGTGCCGTTCTCGACGATGGCCACCGGATCACCTCGCTGGTATTCCTGGCCGTCGAGAGATCGCCCGTCATGGACAAGCGTGCCATGCGCTGGCTGCATATTTGCGTTGACTGGATCGCTATCCAGAAGCGTAGTATGTGACATGCCGTCTTTCAAGGAAGACTGCTAGTCTAGTAGAGAGGAGGACAGAAAGAAGTGGGCAAGCCGCAAGGTAAATACCAACACCACCACGAGAATTAATAGTTTTCGGCGTGGCACATAGCTTGGTGAAAGTCGACGTTACGTTCGTGGATGAGTCGAGACCAGGCTACACTGTGAACAGAGTAGTAGGTGGTGTGCGAAGACAACGTCGAAGCGTCAATATCAGGCAGGGTGATATAGGTGAAGAAACATGGAGGAGCGGTGACCAGCAGTGTTGACGAGGAAGTGACGAATTTTATAACACAAATCGGAATATGAGAGAAGCGTGAACGCATACGCCTAGGGCACTTGACGGTACCAGATGCGACTTGGCATCGATTCGGGTCCGATACCCATACCATGGGTCAAGGAGGAGCTGCAGCGGAAGCCTCATCGCACATCCGCCAGAATGAACTCGTACGCAATCCCAGTCGACACCCTCCCATCTCTTGCGGACGTAGGGACAAGGGGTAAGGGCGTGTACA